CAGGCTGGTCTTGAACTCCTGACCTCTGGTGATCCACCCACCTCAGCCTCCTAAAGTGCTAGGATTACAGACGTGAGCCACCGCGCCCAGCCACAATTGTACATCTTAAGTGGCTGACTCATCTGTCCCTGTCTCCCCACCACTTCCAATGCCTTGATGTCTTCATTTCTGGATTCCTACACCAGCCTCCTGACTGGTCTCTCTGCCCGAGTCAGCACACTCTACTTCCTCCCACGAAAGCCTGCCTGGGCAGCCAGAAAGAGCTCCCTAAAGAATCTTTTTTGTTTTGAGACAGAGTCTCGCTCTGTCACCCAGGTTGGAGTGCAGTGGTACAACCTCAGCTTACTGCAACCTCCACCTCCCGGGTTCAAGCAATTCCCCTGCCTCAGCCTCCCAAATAGCTGGGATTACAGGTGCATGCCACCATGCCCGGCTAATTTTTGTGTTTTAGATAGAGACAGGGTTTCACCATGTTGACCAGGCTGGTGATCTTGAACTTCTGACCTCAGGTGATCCACCTTGGCCTCCCAAAGTGCTGGGATTACAGGTGTGAGCCATAGCACCTGGCCTCCTCAAGAGTAAATGTTATTAAGTCACCCTTTTGTTCAAAACCTTTCAGTGGCTTCCCGTTGCCCTTGTGACAAAGTAGTCTCAGTTTCAGACAAGATTACAGAATCTTTCAGGACTCCACCCACCTCTCCCACCTCCCTGCTGGGGCTGCAGCGGACCCTGCCCCAGTCCCTGGGCACATGACCTGCACATGTGCTCCTGTCTCTCCCTTCCCCACCTGCCCTGGGAGATTCCTGCCTCAGGACTTGGCTTTGGCTCCAGCTCCTCTGGAAAGTCTTTTTTGGCTCCCCACACTTCTCCTCTAGGCTTCTGTCTCCTGTTCTCTTTTTTTGTCTGCAGAAGAGCCCTGGACCTAGCAGGCGCTCACACATGAATGCTGCGGGCCTCTCCTTTTTCCTGAGACAGAGGTCCACTCTTGTTGACCAGGCTGGAGTGCAATGGCAAGATCTCAGCTCACTGCACCCTCTGCCTCCCAGGTTCAGGCAATTCTCCTGCCTTAGCTACTTATAGCTGGGGTTATAGGCACCTGCCACCATGCCCGCCTAATTTTTGTATTTTTAGTAGACAGGTTTTTACCATGTTAACCAGGCTGGTCTTGAACTTCTGACATCAATGAGACACCTGCCTCAGCCTCCCAAAGCGCTAGGATTACAGGCATGAGCCACCACACCCAGCCAGGCCTCTTTAAGAGGTTTGTGCAAACAGGAAGGTGAGAGGGTTGTAGAATCTAAACCTCCTTCCAACTAAGAAAAGTGCCTTTCCAGGTCCCCAGGCCTTCCCCAGGTGCAGCCCTACACTTGGCACAGGGCTCAGATCACGAGGGTTCTCTTAGGCCCTGGGGGGCAGTGGCCAGGGATCATTCAGCCTCTCCTCCGACCCTCTTGCCTGCCTTGGGCTCTACTGGACACACGGTTATCTCCCAAATTATTATTACAACCATCTGCTCTTCCAAGTGTTTCATTAGCCCCCCCAAAGCAAATCTCGGAGCCTCGGGAACCAAGCCCAAGCCCAGCAGCAGGCCATCCATCTTCCTGCCAAATCCACAGCAAAAATATCTTCCCAGTCCTACGCCAGGCCTTGTTGGCTTTCTTCAACAGAGCTCACGGAGCAGCCTCTTTACAGGTGTCCTCACTTCCAAGGGCCCAGGAGGACCCACCTGATCTGAGTCCTCTGCCAAGTCTAGGCCTTCATCCCAGCCTCTACACAGCAGTCCCGGGGCTTTCTGAACTGTACATCTGATTGGGCCCCTCCTTTCCTGAAAACCTTCAGTGGCATCGCTGTCTGCCTGAAGGATGAAGCTCCTGCCCTCCAGGCGTCCCCTGCCCCAGCCTCTCCCTGCTTCAGCTGCAGGAGCCACTTACTGCCCTGCACATCCCCTGCCTTGCACAGGCTGTCACTCCACCTGGCAGGCCGCTCCCCACATTTCTCCAGGAAAATCCACGTCAAATCTCACCTCTGGGCTGGGCGTGATGGCTCACGCCTGTAATCCCAGCACTTTGGGAGGTCAAGTCCAGTGGATTGCCTGAGGTCAGGAGTTCAAGACTAGTATAGCTAACATGGTGAAACCCTGTCTTTACTAAAAAATATATATAAAAAAAATAGCCAGGTGTGGTGGCATGCACCTGTAGTCCCAGCTACTAGGGAGGCTGAGGCAGGGGAATTGCTTGAACCAGGGAGGTGGAGGTTGCAGTGAGCAGAG